GCATGAACGTGTCCGAAGTCAAGTGCAGCAAACAGAACAAACTCCGCTTGGTTGGTGTCCAGTTTCGGCTGGGCCCCCCTTGTCTCAGTCCCAGATCGGACTGAAATCAGTGGAACTTGCAGCTATTGTCCTTCGTTTCACTCGCGCAAGACAATTTACAGGGCAAAACATTGGTACAACGGTGAAAAATATGAAATAAAACAATTCATTTGTTTTCTGACAGTCGTATGTCTCATATTCGCATGCACGCACACTATTCCAGACCCCGCTAGCTCGCTAGCTCGCTTCGTAGGTACACTCGATCGCATAGAGGCTTTTAGCTTGTATGTATACTTATTTACGTTAACGTATTACCAGATGCTCGTTTGCGTTTACTGTCAAGTCAGAACGCATGTTTTTGAACGTTTTCGCTTGTCGTGTGTGAACATTTACATATGTATGCAGACGTATGCCTTTACATTTTCACACACCATAAGTAGTGATGCTAACTGCATTTAAAATGTCTTTAACTCAGGTAGGATTGAATTACTGCTCCAGCAAAATTACTCTATGTTTTTGTATCGTGTACAGTATCCTCGTATGCACAAAAGAGTGAAGAAATACGAGGTTACTGCCACGACGGTGTCGGCATCTTGGGACACTTCGTGCAACCACAGTGACGAACATGTCGGCTTACACAATGTTTTGGGCTGAAAATGATTAAAATGGTAACTCATACCAATTAACGCCAGTGCGCAGTTTTCATTCCAGACGTACATTGCACGATGTTTCTGCAATAACAATTTTGAGATTTCCTGGTTTTTTTTTACCCCGCCAGATGATAGCACCTATCCAGCCATCGGGGGCTCATACGTTGACAATTTTGATGTTATAGGCAATTGTAGCTTTAGTATAATCTGGCCACAATAATGTCATCGCTAGTGGCTCTTGCACTTCGGCTTATTTTGACTCGGCGGCTGGAGTTTCTGCAAAGTGGATATTGCGAGTTCCTACGAACGAAAGTAGATTTACGAGATATGACCGCAAACGTAAAGCCTACCCAGCAGGTAGTTTACGTTACGTTAAGGTTTATGTTCCGCAAAGACCGGTGTATGAGCAGATTCTCTCTGGTATCTGGTAACACACCATTTGCCAACATCGTCGGCCACCGACTGTATCTGATAGTCTGCGTCTAGTTCCCGCGAGTACGCTACCCCACCAACTCTGATAATTTATGATTCGTTTCGTGTTAAGGACTTGTTCTCGCTCACTTCGCGCTCGGCTCAGCATGCCCTTCGCACCCACGCGGAACCGCAAGAACGGCTGTAATTTGCACGGAACGCAAATCGATACGAACGAATCGCAAAATATCGAAGTTCGTGGGGCCACGCAAACCCGCCGGTGCAACAAAACTATTTTTTTGCCACGGCCGCCGATTCTTCGAACATTGCCGCGCGCACCGATCCAGGCGGCCGTGCTTTTACTTTTGTGCGCGCAGGCACTCTCAATTTTTTCTACGTACTAGTTGCGCCTTTCGCGGACCTTTCAAGCAAGCTACCCAACCTGCCTCCTTCCCGTTTGTTTTTGTTTTCAAGGTCGCCCTCCCACCGCATCCTCCCCTCTCTTCACTCTATCGCAGCTTCTTGTCCTTCTTCTCTCGCAAGTATGCTGTCCTCTCTTGATCACAGCCCCTTCGCTCGTCTCCACTGCTCCGCGACCGACGCCAGCGTAGTGGCTCGAATTAGTTTCATTTTCTGACTAGAAACGGGCCCAGAGATGTTCCACGCGTTCTGGCATTTGTGTCGCATGTTCACGTCTTTCTCCCTCTTGGTGTGCGTGAGTGGTCAGGATGGCAGACGGGAGGACTTGCACGCTTTTTCCTGCCACTCAACAAAACGTTGAAAGTGTGACTGCTTAGCTTCAGCATAATCTGCGCATTAGGTGCTGCATTGCGGAGCGCTTACTCAGAGCTGTTGACCACCTGGCAGCCAACTTGCTGCTTTGGGGGTCCTGGTATTTAGCTGTAGTGAATATTTCGTGGGCGGCAGTGACGGCTACATGCGCGAGAAACTGTTTTCGCGAAGCCGATTCGTCGACGTCGGGCCCGATGCCGAGCCTGAAGCGTCCAAACAGGATCACTCCGGCAGCGATTTGTGGCAGTGCGTCATCGACTCCTACCTGGAAGAGCAGGTGGGACATCTGTAGCGATGGTTTAATTACGGCCGATGATGATGCCGACACTGTGGAACCGTGCAGAGATTAGGGCATTGGGAATGAGGTACGTGGCGAGAGCGATTCGGAGGAATCGGATTGCGAGAACTACGAAACTTTGGAGCCAGTGCCTCATGCAGCTTATGCCATGGGCCTCGGCGAACCAGCACCCTGCCGTTTTAAGGGGAGATGCGGGTCCAAAAATGCGAGTTTTTTTCAAAATTACCGATTTTTTTTATTTTCCTCTGTTTCGATAAGATTAGTACCTTTACTGTTACGAAAAAAATAATACAGGTCGAGACCTAACTGGAAATGCTTTACTGGAAATGCTTTAAAATTGCATTTAAAGAGCACAATGTGCCTATTAAAGGTCGAAAGTGTGCAGTCTTCGAGCACTTTGCTGCCGATAATGCACCGTCGTTCGCCATTGTTGATCACATGAGTCGAAGATTCGAGCCTCACTCTTCAAATATCAACAGTTTCTCTCGCTGATGCAGTGCAAGAAATAATAAAAAGAAGCACTCTTCTGCATGTTTTTTGAGAGCCGCGACTGGCTTATCACATGGTACGAAGCAGGGACTGCCATTGACCGCTGCACGCCTGTATGTGCTGTGAAACCTATTTGCGGGGTCTATGCCTTGTCGAGCAGCGCAGCTGAACAATGCTTTTCTCGTGTAATTATCTCCGTTATGAATGAAAAAAAGCATCGCTTGCAAGTGAAAGCCATTGTGCGGCGCGCTCTGTAGGAATAAGCTACGAGCAGCTGGTCCGATTTGCGGCAGTTGTTGGCTTGCAAAAGCCAATGCATTAAAAGTCATTCACACCCGTCAGCCGGAAAGTTCTTGATGCGGCAATAGATGACGTCAGCGCCAATCTTGAGAGGTCGAAAGAGCTCGCAGTGAGAGAAATTAGCAAGGACGACATTGCCATTATGTACGACGGTATGTGGCACAAGCATGGCTGCAAAATGGCATGACACTGGACTTAGTTTAGATTTCGCAGTCCTGTCGAACTTCTTCCTAGCTTGCAGTTGGCACAAGGCTCTGCCAGATGGAGCGGAAGTTTGGCAAGTGTTTCATGGCCCTGTCTGTGAGCGAAATGTCTGTGAGGAGTTGGCTCGAAAAAGCCGAGAGGGACAAACTCATGATGCTGGCGTATTTTAGTCGCAGTGGCCACTACAAGAAGGATTGTTCTTTTTGGTGAGCAAATTTCATCTGATTTAATGATATCTTTCATAAATAAAAACTCAATTTTAACTTTAAAACTCTTTTTTCTCAAAACACAAATTTTGCCATTTTTTCCAATGTGCCCCTCCTTTTTCGGGCACTTCAAGTGCTCGGATCAGCATAAAATTTTACAAAAATTTTTTCTAAAGTATGACAAATGCAGCTATCTAGTTTAAATTTTAATATTTTATTGTATAATAAAAAAAATTGTATGTATATCTTTACTAGGGTAGGTGAAATATGGACTTTTTACGTCTATTATTTTTCACGTGTATTACTTTTTTTGTATGTGCTTCCTAATTAGTTATTTGCACTCTACACTTTATTTAAAGCATTATGAGCTATGAATCGTAAAAAATACAGAAGTTTAGGGATGAAAAGAGGGAGAGCAAAAGGGTCAAGGTTTTCACTTTGTCATGTTGCAGAGCTAAAAGTGTGTAACTTGCAAGAAAACTAATTATATATTTGAAATCAGCATAAAAAATCCATAAACAGTTCAAGGTTCATTGCTCTAGGGTGAATATTAAAAAAAAGTGTCTTCGAGTAGCATCTTCCCTTAAATGAACTCCAGACCGCCCTTTTCACTTCTGCTCTATGAAAGATGTGCATCACGGACTTTTTGGGGCAAAAATTGTTTGTTTTCACTCCCAACTTTTTTAAATGCTGTGTTACATTTACTACGAACTTCGGCATACAGCGAACGAATGCCGTGTCAGGCTCAGGTTCGTTATAAGCAGGCTCGACTGTGTATATCTTGCTGAAGAAACATTTGAGAGTTTCTAAATATAAAAACACGATGAAATGAAAAGAAGCTTCATGCAGGTGGACCAAGTTAAAGCCTCAACACCTGCACTATTACCATACAGGTGTAGCCAATCATCTTAATCAGAGCAATGACGGTTTCAAGATATATCGCCCACTAAGACCTTCATCTTTTTTCAAATAAATGATGACGTTTATTGCCATGCAAATGAGGGCATATACAAAACAGAAGAGCTAGCATAGATTTGTGCAAAAAGTGTACTTGCACTTTTCGAACAACCATATACAATTAAGGAGAAGAACGTGAATTATAAAGTAGCTCGATCATTCAGAGCCACATGCGCCTATTGTTACTGGCTATTAAAAATAAAAAAGCGGCAGGTTTTACATAGGTTTAATGAATTAACATGAAACCAGGCTTCTTATAACTTGGAAATCACCCATGCTTGAGTTTGTTTTTCTCATAAATATTTCTGCATGATCAAACAATAAACAAGTATCACTGAAGGAGTACAATTCACAGATGAAAACTGGTTCAGTTCCTACCCATACTTGTCTCTAGCAAGAAAGGATGCTAGAGCACTGCAAAATCCCCCCGATTGATAATTCAGTCCTTGTACAATATTTTTTCTAACAAATGAATGTATACTGCATAAGGATAAACTCATGGCTGAGATCTTTTTAGCATCCCCATATGCAGCAGTACAGTGCTATTAACAGAGCTATTCTGCATATTTGCAGAAAAATGAATCATGAAGGATGCAGAATGCTGCATAGACATTGTACATTTGTCAACTTAAATCTTTATCACATGCTACTCACAATTTCACTTGGAAGTGTTTCCACATCCTTGAAGGGGGTTTCCACCTTGTTGTTGTCAACGTCCAGGATAACCACTTCACCAAGCTCACTTTTAGACACCCTCTGGAATTGAGCAAAAAAACTCTTACTTATAAGCCAGAGTAAGTGGCACGAATGCATCCTATCACTTCACCATTTGAACGTCAAGTGAGAAATGACAAAATGTAAAAGAGGTGGCGGTGATGTTACTTGTAAAAGCTTCTGGTCAATGTAGTAATGGAAAGCCAAGAAATTTTTAGACTTTCTGAAACACTGCAGAAATATTGCAGATCTTTCTTAGACTGGAATATAAAGGCTACCAAGGCACTGCCTGCTCTTTCCTTAACATTCCACCAAAGTGCAATGTCGCCATTTCTATCCTACATTATGAGTCTGCATTCATATGTATCTGTGATTTCTAGGCTTGTACAAATATTCCCGCACATCAAAGACTCGAGCGAATGTTGCAACCTTAGAATTAACTTTGGCGCAAACTTAAATTACTGGAAATTTCAATGTATTCAAAATGAACAAATAGGTGCAAATTACCCTGTGAAAGTGTTTTCACTGCAGTTGAGGAGTGCTATATGATGAATACACCTATCCTGAAAACATTCACACTGCTGCAAAGCCCCGCTTCAAGGGTAAATGAATCTATACTAATATCAATTCATCAATTTTTATATTTTAAAAGCTTGTTATACTAGTTTATATACTACAAGTACGTTAAATTTTAGACATAACATATTTGACAGGTTATCACTTGCAGTTTACTGAAATCAAGTCCTACTACCATTCAAGGTTGCTTCCATTTCTTTCGAATCAAAAATATTATCTGCCCATTCCTTGTTTTAATTAAAAAGACATATTTTGCAAGTTAGTTGGGTCATGACAAATGTGCTCCTTTTCTTTATATTATGTGACATATACTATTCAAATTCAATTTGAAATTATTTGACCAAGTCACTTTTTGTTTCAAATTCATTTTGAACCTAGAATCACTAAGTGTGGGTGGAGAAGCGTGCCCTAACTCATGTACCGGCATTGTGCGCGCTGCACCGAGCGGCAGAAGAAGGTAAGAGTCGCAGCCCCCCCCCCCCCCCCTCCTCAAAGCAGCGGCGAGAGGCATGTACATACTACACCCGATGCGAAGGCCATAAGAAGCGAGCCCGCAGATGTAGTCTAGCCTGGTCTAGCCCGGCTGTGTACACGTTGATTTTGCTACGGAGCGTGGCGAGCACAATCTTAGTGATTTCCTATCAGTGGCTAAAATTTAGACGCTTTTTCAACAGGCATTGCACAAACTTTCTTTGTACAATTTAATATTTTTCCAAAATGGCAATTTCAGGCATGAAATGGCTGAGCCTAAATTGGGAACAGTTTTTGGAGCAGCAAAATTTCAATTTGAGAGAAGAAGAACCTTCCTTTGGAGCAGCTAGTGGCATTTAATATGTCGTCCTGAGAAATTGAAAAGACAAATTTTTAGCAACGTGGGGGCATAAAAATACACATAACACTGAAACACATTTTGAAAGATGTTTTTGAAAAAATTGTCGCAAGCATGAGCTGCAATATCTTTTTACATAGCCCATGGCCTATCGAGCCCTCGTAACAAACATGTTCTAAAAAAATTAAAGTTTAAAAAATATTTAAAAAAGGTTTTGGTGAAAACTAGGTTCCCAGGAAACATTTTGAAAGAAAACACATCACACTCAAAGGAAATGTAAAAATTGTGATTCGCACGAGAAACGTAGTTACGTAACAGTGGGCCTTCGCTTAAAAAAAGCGTGACATGACAGCGTCAAGTGTACTGCAAACTTTTAACAGACAACAAAAGCGCACTGCACCGCCGTTCACGGCCAACTCGTGCGGGACCACCTTCAAGTCTGCTGCGCTTGCGATTGCCGCATGCGCTGCTACGCGACTCCCACAGTGCAGGTAAAAAATTCATGTCCACGCAAACGAACCGCTGAATGTACAGAGGCTGGTTTTATTGCAAGAAGAAAAAAAATAAAACGAAGTTCACCAGTCACACCGATTGGAATGGCCGCCACCCAAAACACAGATCGAAAATAAAAAAAACAAAGCCTTACAAAATGGAGCAATGGCAAATCATTGTTCATCTGTGCCACGTGATCGCCGACGTACATGAGTCACGAATAAAGTGCCGAGGTACCCATCGATATTGTTTAAAATGCTTTGAATGCGTGTTCTGTCACCACGGCTTTACAAATAACCAAGTGTTTCTCTCTACCTCCAGACACTAATATGTGGAGTTCACGTGCAATGGCTTTTTTAAATGCAGTATGCAATGAGAACTTGATTATCTAAATAACTTAGTAGCTAATGGGCGTAAACGGCGAATGGGTTGCACATGTTCTGTCGCTCACAGAACCCACATGAGAACCCATGTGCACGCCCCAGATCATCCAGGAGACGTGTCAGATGCAGGAAAATGGCTCCACATTTACAGTTACTGGCTCACGGCAAACGCGCACGCGTAGGCGACTGCATGAAGCAGTGTCGACATAAAAACTGCAGTGACCGAAGAAATGCGCTAAGCACAACAAAGAACCTGATAGTCAACCCCGCCGAAAACCACCCGACTCGGTGGTTTTCGCTAGGCGACAGTGGCACCAGAACACACAGTCTAGCTAGTAGAAGCAGCACACTTGATGCCCGGCAGCCCATTTTTGCGGGGTCACCTATTTTACAACAGTTTAGAGGAGATTATGGCAGCACCTTGGGAACATTTGTCATCAGAACAGTGCCAAGTAAAAAAAAATAAAACAGAACACGCTTGGTTGCATTTTATAAGTCAACTCTGCCTTTTTTTTCCCCACTAGAGCTGATGTTGGGATCAAAATTTGTGCTTTCGAGGCTGTATTGGAGCAGTTCGGCACAATTTTCGCGCTTTTGGAACAGCTTGGCACAAATAAATAGAAATGTATCAAGAATGCGCAATATGTGCAGCTGTCTCACACCTGCAATTTAAATGTATTTTTAGGAACCAATTTCATAATATTACAAATTTTGGGGTTCAATTACAGCTTTTTCATGGCTTACAGTCTAATGTCAGTAACCAATTTTATATACTGGGAGCTGTCTTGCAGTTTTTGATAAAAAGCCCCAAAAAGTGAAAGACTTGTACTCATTGCCGAGAGATTCTGTTGAATGATGCTTTCAAAATGTAACTGCAAGTGTGACTTTATATTTATTATGTGTAAATATGTCTGTAAATTGTGAATACCTTTCTCTAGCTGATAATTAGCAACATTATCACACACACAAAAAAAGAAAGTGTATGTAAATATGTGTAAGTTATTCGGGGGGGGAAGGGGTGAGAGGGAGTCTTAAAGTATGCATTAAATATCATTCAGAATATGCTATGCCGATTTCAATTAACATGATCATGCTCCATTTCTGTAGAAGAGAAGCACATAAAAGTAGTTCTTGTCCCTTATATATGGCGTCTCTTAAATAGATTACCACGATCCCATTTTCTGATCAAGCACTGTTTCAATGTAAGCACAATGATTTTTATTTTACCGAACTGTCTCCTACATCAGTACCTACTGTAAATAGATTCCACTGCCTTACAAAAATAGTTTGCACGAGCAGTGGGCCACAGCTCCAAGTGATGTGCTACTAGGCAGTTTCTATTAAAGAATACATTAAATTGTGTATTAATTATACAATGTTATGGTGTTACTGACAAAAAAATTACGAAATTTGCATGTGCTACACCACAAGAAAGAGAGAGAAATGTGATGCAGAAAGGCAGGCAGGTTAAATATAAAACTGGTATCAGTTTGCTGCCTTGCGTTAGGGAAAGCACAAAAGGAGACAGAAAAGTCAGGAAGAAAAGAATGAGAGAGGGAGGCAGGTTGGCAGTAATGTACACACATGCAAATATACAAGTGTAATAATCGTTCAATGAGGCGAGTGGCTCACAGAAACTTCATCAGTGCTTTTGTCGTTTCTGGCATCGAGCTCAATATTTCTGGCATTGCAAGGTTCGTTGCTCAAAAAGCGGCTGGTCGTTAAGGCACGCAAGCACTGGCCAGAGGATGTATGCAACTGGTTACAGGGCCCTTTGTGGACACTCTTCTATGCCGTTTGGCCATCACAAATGCTAAGGTGAAACCAATTATACCCTTAAAAATTTTCAAAAATTTTACTCACTGCTAGTGTGACTGCTGGAACACCAATAAGGAATGGCATTGGAGCACTGAAAAAGAAAATTAAAAAGAAAGCAAACAAGCTGAATGAACTTCTATAACATCAAAGCCTAATCAGAATGGTCATTCCTATGACATGTTCAAATCCTAAGCCATTGGCAAGCTGCAACTGCCACTTATGCCACCATACTGACATTTATGCAAAAGCTAATGCAATCAAAGCACCATGAGAGTGAAGTGTATTCATGAACAAGCAATAAAGTATTAATGCTGTGACAAGAAAGACAGTAAACTGTCTGTATCTCAATACAGCTATGTATATTATAATCGGATATCAGTACTGTTATTAATTAGAAGGCAATTGATCTCTCTATTCTATTGAATACATAGGCACCTCTAATTGAATATTAGTCCCTAAAATAGCCTGGAATATATTTTAATATGGCCCTGAAGTACACAAACGTGCTAATCTGTAAACTACATGACTTCGTAACAACGACAGTTGTACAACATTTTAAGTGGCTTCTCTGGTTCTCTCTGATATTTCACCCATTCGACTAGTATAGTTGATGTCTTAAAAACAAGTTTGCAGAGCCCCAGCAACATCTCCAAGACTAGCACAATAGGAGACTTCGTTCACCCTCCTCTGCTTTGACATCAAAGGGACAGACAACCGATTTTTCTTTACCCAGTTTTTTCCGGCGCAACTGGAAGCTTACCCCTTCGTAGCATTTATAGCTGCAGTAGTAGTTAATCCCAGAAGCCCGTAGTTATTTTATAAGCAGTATTTTTCAATCTAAAAGGTTCTGAGCACAGATGAGCCCTTTCATCCAACAACGCCGTGAACTAATGGCGATGCCGGTAGCCTTTCTGGTGACTTGTGCATGCTGTCGTTCTGCTTTTGCAGAACGTCCTGTAACTATGCGTAACCACAATTATTGTCAGCTTTACAACTATTCTTGCAAATAACAAGCAGCTATAATGAGACGATGTTGCTTTATACAACTTTTCTGTACTTGTAGCATGTTGCGAGCGCCTGCGCCCAAGGTTGTTGCACCTGTGTCGTGGATGGCTTGTCCTATCGTCATTACTCTATCAACACACGAGCCAAACCAAGTGACCGAAAATGTCACGGCGCATATGCGTGGTCATGCCCACTAGCAGTACATGTCATTTCTGAGACAAATTGTAGGCGGAAAAACCATGTCGCTCGAAAATCTTAGCGACCCAGAAAATACGTGCATGGTTTCATGAGCACGCAGAAAAGTTGCTTAGGACCCGCTGACGAGCATAGGATCATTACGTCATGCGAAGGCAGCGCCACTTTACTGGGCACAGTGAAACACCAATTATACGACTGTCAGGGGACCACGCGAAAACGTCGTATAATTGAAAAACTAAGAATATAGCAGTGACACTCAGCCTTGCCCCAAAAAATGGGTATAAACCACCTAAATAAGCTCATGACACGACCTTGTGCCTCTGATAGAAAGGTAGATTAAATTATTCTTGCCAGCGACAGCTAATGGCAGCGTAACTTAGTTGAAAGAACTGCGAGCGAATCTCTATTCGCAAGTTTAAAAAAAATTGAGTCCAATGAGCACCTTTCTACCGATAAATAGAGTCCGAAAATCGCCTGCACGTGAAAATGAAACCGAAACCGTATTGCCAACAGCCTCCTGTCAGAAGAGTCAGACAGAGTATCATCACTATCACATAATGGCGACCGACCACGAGTGTGGGCAGAATGCCTTCGTGTGCAACTGAGCTAATCACAGTCAAAGCAGCTGCATCGCGCCTTTATGCGTCCGCAATCTTGTGACTGCGAGTGTGACAAAGCAGATGAGCTGTATATGGACCAGAAAATGTTTCCACGGACCGAAAATGTAAAAATATCAGCTTTTCGACCGGCCGGAGCTTTGTGTCGATAGAGCTTGACTAAGTAGTAAAGACCCCAGATACGTGCACACATGATTGTGGCGTGTGTAGAAGGGCATGAACTTCCAGGAGAATAAATTTTCCATTCTAAGAAGCCATCTGTCTTGCTCGCTACTTTTCTAATCGTCAACCTAAGGGAACCCAAGTTTATATTTTGCACTCATGAATATTTGGTCCACGCTTGATTCGAGTAAAGGCGTTCTTTTTTCTTTTGGTCTAAATCTGAATGTCATCATAAGATCCGGGGTCGGCGTAAAACTGCGTCGTACAACCAAGGTTTTAATACATTATTTCTATGGGGATTTTGCCGGGACCTAACCGATTCATCGTAAAATGCGGGTCGTCGCGAAACCGGTGAACGTATAATCTAGGTTCCACTGTACTACTAACGCAAGCCCATATGTACATTTTTATGGAGGGATATTTTTTACTATAAAAAACCAAACAATATTTCAATACTAACAGAAAAATTGTTGAACGCGTACACTAGTTGATGGTCACATGAGAGGGTACATCAGATAATTGAAGTTTCTGCCACCAAGTAGCACCACAGCCTAATTTCACGATTTTCAATGAAGAAGTAAATATATAACTCCACTTTTCACGAGAAAAACAGGGTTGGTTTGAGTCACAATAAGGAACTATCTTTGCATTCCTGCAGTCATCTCATTTTATGTTCTAGGCAGTTGTCCGTCCCTTTAAGCTGTAAATTAGGTGGTTCTGGCTGGGAGCTAAAGAGTAGGCCTATAGCAAAGAATATTTTTTGGAGGGCACCTAGTCTTGACCATGACCTACGGGTTGAGCAGGCAGGTTTGCTGTATGTTGCTTTGTGCTAGATATCTAATCATAGACAAGGCATTTCAGATGGGCCACAAGCATGCGTGTGTCACCACTGGCTTATATAGCAGTAAACTCACTGCTCCATTCCTTAGTGCATGTGGGGCATTCATACAAAAACAGTGCTTCCAACCATGTCAAGTTAGTGTACACATGGTCTTGTAAGATCATGTGTATGCAAAACTTCACATGGTCGGAACACTAGATAACGGTGGGGCACCAGCCTTTCTTTCCTTTTTTTTTTTTTGAGTGGGGAGGAAGGCATTATGAAGGTATCGTGACTAACACTATAGGATTATTAGAACTTAATAATATTAAATCCTTTCACATCCAACTTCATGATTTTTTAACAGGCTCCCCGAATCATCAAAATATAGTAGTCAAAAATAAAAATCTGGCAGTCAGTGGTCTTTCAAACAGCTTCCAACAGTACTAAAAGTCTAGGAGACTGGATTACTGTAGTCAGAAATGTGAACTATGATGAGTAGGAAGCAATTCGAACAAACCTGAGGTAGTCAAGAAGATGGTTAGGAAGAACTGGGATGTATATGTGCTGCCTGTAAAAAAAATTAAGGAAGTCAACATTGAAACACGCAAACAAGAATATTTTTAGGCAGTCATTGAAAGTAGACATAACGTAATACAATCATTAAGCACATTCTTGTTGTACAAAGTTATCCGATCGAGATAACAAGTAAAGTTTCCAGCAATGCCACGTTTAAATATTTCTTTCTCAGAAGTAACAATTCAAAAAAATAATAAAGTTAACCCAAATATAGTTCCTCGCCTGCATTCTTTCAATATATGGTGTCATTACTATAATGCACTAATAGCTAGTATACTCGTAAAGCCACTAGCTGTATCAATAAATTCAATTTTAGGGGGATAGACGGAGGGGCTCATTCATTTGTTAGACAAAACCTAATGAAGCCAGAAGCCAAAGGACAATGAAACCAAGGAAAGCGTGAGTGACATTACTTATAGTTTTTAGCTACAGCATATCAATTACGACATAAATGGAAATGAATCAAAGTTGATGAAAAAACAACTTGCCAGAGGTAAGGACCAGACCAACAACCTCTGGTTAACACAACTGTTTCTTTAGCAATTGAGCTACAGCGCCTGTACTCATGAATCTGATACTGAAGTACTGCCTATTGCAAAATGTATTACATACAATAGTACATTCAGTACACTCTCATTAAACAAAAATCTGTTAAATGGAACTGCTGCTTCAATGAACACCTGCCTCTAATATGATTGGTTTCGTATTTGTATTGTACATCTTTGTTAATCTCTCTCAGTTAATAGAACTTTTATTAAAAGGAATATATTTACCTGGCCCCTTCAGGTTTCATTTAATGAGAGTCTACAGTCCAACAACAGCATAGCAACCTTCCGTTCGGTCAAGATTCATGCTGTTTGTAAGGTACTTGATGAAAAAAAGTAGGCTCTTTAAGAGTGCCTAATCAATGAAAATTGCAACGTTTGCTAACAACTAGCACCATCCTCATGATCACAATCCTAATAACCTTATTGGGAGTTTGGATGAACAGAGGCGAGATATATGCGTCTTGAAAGCTCCAAGGCCTCTAGAGAGTACACTGATGCTTACAAACCAGTGAAAACAGGTCAGCCAAGTGTGAGGAAAAAAAAAAAAAGCACTTGAGCAATGAGGGAGCAAATGAGAGAAAAGAGAGCGAGCTACAATGGCCTCAAGAGCATTGGAACAATGAATTGTGGAAAAAAAAGTGGGGAAGCAGCTTCAACCTGCCAGATTACCACAGTGGTGGTAAAACCACAAGCAGAAATTCAGACAAGTAATCGCAACAACCTTAAAAGCTAAATACCTACTTTCTCCCTTAGCATCTCTAATTAGAACAGCACTGCCAATTACACCAACCAAACCCACCATGTTCTCTTATTTAATATGTCCGAACAAGAAAAATGATGAGAGTCAAGTGTGGTTTAACTAAAGGCACTGCTAATAAATTTCTTTAAATCTCTAATCAGTTTGATGAAACTTGCAGAGTTTACATATAAGGGCGGGGCCGATTTCAAATACGCGATTATTTTTTTACTTCAACTTTCACTTTTTAAAATACAAAATTTTTCACGTGCCTTTTGACGAGTGAAATTCTTCCTAAAATGAGACAGTTACAAAGTAAATCGCCCTATCAAATCATGCTAGAATCTAAAATTTGTGATGTATAGCAAAGATGGATCTTCTAAGTACATTTTAACAATAGTTATACTATGTCAAACATTTGCAAGTGAGTGAATGTCGAGCTGAGATGTCGCTCACGAATGTTCGACATAACATAGCTTTTGTTCGACTAGTTTAAAACATCCATTTTTGTTGTACTGCACACAGTTACGATTCCAGATCATTGTGGTATTCTGGTTTACTTTGTAACTCTCCCAGTTTAGGAGAAATATACCTCCCCAAAAACACATAAAAAATAATGAATTACAAATAGTATACATCATACTATAAAATTATTATAGTTACTTATCCCAGTTATTTGTTGCCTCAAGATCTGCCGTGTTGCCTACAAGGCATTTCTACTGCCAGTCCCCACAAGCACGTGATGAAGAATGTTCTTGTCCATCTGTATTTAAATTCACCTGCTCCTTAAAGAGCACCAAAAGCAGATGGTTGAATTCATATTGTAGATGCAACTTGTAGGTCACTGACCTCCATCATAACCCAGCGCACACTATGCAGACACCAAACCCATCATTAGAAAAATTTCTGCTAAATGTACTGTATGCATGTGTATTTAGCAGTGGTTTAGATTGCTCGGAAGAATCGAGCAACTGAGCAATGAACACATCACCACATTATCAAACAATGCACTGAGAACGGTTTATTAAACGGTATGACAAGAAAAGAAGTTCTATCCACATAGCATACTTAAACCATGGCTCTTCCTCGATTGATAGATTGATATGTGGGGTTTAACGTTCCAAAACCACCATATGATTATGAGAGACGCCGTAGTGGAGGGCTCCGGAAATTTCGACCAACTTGGGGTTCTTTTACGTGCACCCAAATCTGAGCACACGGGCCTACAACATTTCCGCCTCCATCGGAAATGCAGCCGCCGCAGCCGGAATCCGAACCCGCGACCTGCTGGTCAGCAGCCGAGTACCTTAGCCACTAGACCACCGCGGCGGGGCAATGGCTCTTCCTCATAATAGTGAAAGAGTAAAGGCAACAAGAAAATTCATCGAAGCCCTACATTTATACTGAGCCCAATGCAAGCTCACTAAAACAGTAATGCAGCCACAAATTATACACATGCATCTAAGTACTCTTTCCACACTAGCAGACTATTTAATTGCAAATTCAAGTAGGAAATATAGCTACTCACCATTCCATTGGGTAAATAAGAGCATTCGCAGCCTGGACACAGGCACTTAGCCTGCTGAGGCGCCGTGAGGTGATCAGGATCCTCCGCTCATGCAGCATGCTGCACAAGTAATGAAGTGAACGTAACTGAGTTGCTCTGGTATCAATTTACAGTAAAATGAGAACACATAACTTGTTATTCCAGCCCACTTTCACTTGAAATCATGATGCGACTTGAATGGCTGAATAATGCTCAACATGAACACACCTAAAGGAAATATAATGAGTGTCTTGAGCACACTTATCTCAGGCTCACGTAAGCCAGACTTGACCAAGTCAACTTGCAGCTTGAAGTTAAGGCCCACTTCTGAATACAGTAGTAAATGAAGGCCAACACCATATGTACACAAATCCAAGCAATGGCAGTAAACGACATGAAAAGTGACGAAAGCCACCATCACATGACAAGTTGCTTGGTTATGCAAAATCTTAAAAAAAAAAAAAATGACAGATTCCACGCACCATGGGAATCGATGTCATGCGAAGCATGCAAAGAAAATATTTTATTGAGCAAAATGCTGTAAAATGACGCTAAAACTATGTACAATTGTTATATGCGCAGACATGTTTGTATGTCGGACTATCCCATAGAAAGCGATCAAAACAGGACATACAATCATGACGAAAATAAATGCAAAGAGTGTGGCGATGATGTACTCCCCTGTTCAAATTTCTTTTTAAGCATTTATAGCCTGGCTGGAAGTAAAAAAAAAGACACTCGAGTCATCCATGATACATGTGTGTACATTCAAAGCCGACCCTAGTGTTTTCATTGCCACCAAGGTAAGAGCCCGATGAAAACCAATGGGAACAGCGGAGCACTAATGTGCCAAGCTGTTTATATTTCTTTCTCTGTCCTTGTATGAGAGTGTAAACAACCAAATATTTTCACGAATATAGGGTTTGGTCTCACAGGCTTATTAAGGCTGTTTTACATGACACAAAAAGTAGCGATTTTCAGGCTGCGAATTAGCTTGCAGCGAAAAAAAGGGCAGTTCGCTGCCGCCGCAGCGGTCCGCCGTGAGCTTCCAACATGTTAGAAATTTTCGCTCCAATCGCAGCGGCGGGAGTGATTTTTGGTCAGGACCCGTCGAAATAGGGCTGGTCTGGCCAAGCCGTCGAAATAAAGTCGACGTGTTCATTTTGGTAATGGCCGATGCTGTGCATATTAAAATGAATTTAGACTGGAAAGTGTTCTTAAATGACAAAACAATCGGGCCCTTCGTTACCGTTCACGGAAACTTCATGATATTATAGTGCACATATTATTGCATTACATTCGTGTCTGTCACAAAGAGCAGTGGCAAGAACTCTCCACTCCAATCACAGAGCAAAAATCGCGGACTGTTTACAGTCATTGTGAAACGAAACCGCCATTAGGGACGGTTGCAAACAGAGTGATTGGAGCGAACAGAACAATTTTTTTTGCTGCAATCGCGGCATGTGAAACAGCCTTTAGACAATACCACATATAATAACATATACTAAACACAAATGAAACATGGCCAGAATGGCGTCACCTAGTGAATGACTGAAATACACTGGACTAAAGCAAGAATAAACATTAATAAAATTTCATTCAAATTCTCAAGTGTTATTTAATAATACCACAGTGACGATGACAAAACTCTGGATTTGTTTTGACCAACTAGGGCTTTTCAGCATGCAAACTAATGTAAGCAGGTATTTTCGCACTTTTTCTGCATAAAAACATGACTGCCGACTGCATGGCTGAGAATTACACACACAATCTCATACTTAGCAGTGTAACCCCATAGCTGCTAAGCCACTGCAATAAGTTTTCGATCAAGAACAAAAAGCATACCTTGCAAACAACACAATCATATTTGTTGCATCAACTGCATTGAAGTATTCTGTTAGGTTTCTCTGAAATGAGAGAGCACAAGTTATTTCAAAGAGGAAAAAGTGTTGCAAAATAAAGAGCTTTATGCAAAGTGAAGAGCTTTATGCATACATATCCTGGGCACTTGAATAGCAGAAAGGGCAAATAGGCCTGCTTAGTTTACTTTGGACCCATCATTTGTTTCCTTTGTGTTATTGTTGTTGCTACATATGTTATGTGCCATTAGGTCACAGACTATTAATTAACACTACATGAATGCAACTGTCTAACAAAAATTCCACTCAACAAAAGTGGAACTGTTCTGCAGTCTGGAAAATACTCCTTAACCATATTTTGCAATGGTGATCACACTTTACATGCTTTACAGCTCACCTGCATCATAAAAGGACAAGAAGAAAACTCTGCCGAAGTCAAGTACTAGTAGAATTAAAAAAGTTGAAGCCTGTTAAAGCAGCATGAACAGGCCAGCCAAGAGTGCAGATTTTTTCATGGAATATCTGCACTCTTAATATCAGTCAGGAAAATTCTTACAAATTTTGCTTCAAAGTAGAAGATATCTGTCTCTCATTTACCATTCACACAAATATTTACAATACAAAAAGGGAACACTTTTGACAACAGCAGTTCTTGCTCAACTAAGTGATTACAAAGAAATTTATACACAGCAAATACTTACATTTTCCGGAATGCTTGGCAACTTCGTGTGATCCGAGCAGGCGCACTGAAATGGCTGAAATTATTTTTGCCACATTACACACTACAGGAAAACTACAGGTCATTGCCACAGCAAAACCTTTCATGTTTATTAGCACTCCTTGAAAGCTAGAAAATGTTTTCAAATTCGATATGTATTACTTAATATTTATAAATCATTTGAAGAAAACAAGTCACTAAAGCTAATGAAGGCACAGAAAAAATTCTTATAAATTTTTAAAATTAAACCTCAGTAAGTAAAGCAAGGGACAGTAAAACATACAAAAAAAGAAAGAACAAGGTTCTAAAGCAAGTGTAATTTAAACTACTGTCCTCACGAAGTGTTTCCACATGTATCAAAGGCAAAAATTCAAGGTCTTGTCAAAGGCTTTTCAAGGACACAGCAGGCTACCAAGTATAAATTTTTTGCTATTACATCATATCCAGGACACTACTCATTGTTTCAACATAAGTGTATTGTAAAAATAAAGCATGCATACACACAGACGCATGCAAGAACACACACGTAGCAGTCATATTACAAATGAAAAGCCATAATTACATTAAGTTAAAGCAATAAAAATGTTCACAACACACAAGAAAGGCATGTCTCAAACTGTCACATCAGTAAAAATAGGTAGGAAAGACACTAACTGACATCTCTACTACAGTTGTCTAAAATGATTTGTTTACGATCTTGAACACGTTAAACAGGCTGTTAAATGCAAGAATTTGTTGAGGGTTTGGCTCAGTTAGGCACATTAAATCACAAGAGACATTGAAACCAACACATTTATCTACGCTATGAAATATCTTGTAATTTCTGCAACAACGGCAACTGCCAGAAGATTTCATTTTAATCAAGGCTTAAAATTTTATTTCCTCGATCATAACTCATGTGCTTTTATAATCTCTAAACATTATTCTTTTTTATGTTTGTGTCACTAGCAGCCACAGAGCACTTCAAACATTCTAGTATACTACTTTAAACATACAGTAGACTCCTTTTAAACGAAACCTGAAGCGACCAGGAAAATGGGTTTCATTAAAGAGGAGTTTCATTTACTGAGAGATAAACAGGGGTACAATATTCAAGTACGAAACCAATCATATTTTCACGGGGTCGTGACGTGGCCGAAGACAGGAGACTTCGTGTTGGGATTTAACTGTTTATTTGGGCGAACCTGTGCCCGGTAAACAGAAAGTCCAATTACAGCAGCAGTCTTGCACAGATAGCAGTCTCGGACTGATAGCGGCAAACAGAGCATCGGCCTTCGACCAACAACTGACAGGCGGCGAAGCGCGTCGGCATTTATACTCTTGCCGTCGAAAATTCCAGCGTTAGCGCTGGCGGTGGCGTAGGTTCCAGGACAATCTGTACCGTTCGCACAGTGGGCGTGATCTTATCGAAATGATCTACTACAGTCCGGAACCTTCTCGAAAACTGCAGGCGCGGTTTGCGCTGAGAACCGTGTGGTGTTTTGGGACGATAACAAAAACTTGGAAAATGGAACGTGGCATTGCCCCTCTCTGAAAAAAAGGCATCGTCCCGATGCTTTAACTAAAGATGAAGGTACAACAATAATGCAAGAAAGTACAATGAATAAATTATGATACAACAATAATACAAAAAAAAAAAAAACACTGTTTCAGTTTGTTAACGCGTATGAAACGGCTTGAGGCGCGCGACATGGACGACTTCAGGTCGCGATCGGCGCCGTTGAGAGTTCGTGATGCCGTCAGAGACAACTTCGTAATCAAGTGGGCCGAGACGTCGAACCACCCTGTACGGTCCGAAGTACCGTCGCAGAAGCTTTTTCACCAAGTCCACGTCGGCGTATCGGCGTCCACACCCAAACACGTTCACCGGGCTGGTATTCCACGAAGCGTCGTCGAAGATTGTAACGGTGGCTGTCGGTCGTCTGTTGATTCTTGATATGGAGACGCGCAAGTTGTCGGGCTTCTTCGGCGCGTTGAAGGTACTCACTCACATCGAGGTTTTCTTCGTCGGTGACGTTGGGTAACATGGCATCGAGCGTCGTTGCTGGGCTCCTTCCGTAGACCAATTTGTATGGAAATATCTGCGTCGTCTCCTGCACCGCCGTGATGTATGCGAAGGTCACATACGGAAGAATGGTGTCCCACGTCTTGTGTTCGACATCGACGTATATTGACAGCATGTCGGCGATCGTCTTGTTAAGCCGCTCGGTGAGGCCGTTGGTCTGTGGGTGGTACGCTGTCGTTCGGCGGTGGTTTGTTTGGCTGTATGCCAAGATCCCTAGAGTTAAGTCGGCAGTGAATGCCGTTCCTCTGTCGGTGATAAGGACCTCCGGGGCGCCGTGACGTAGGACGATGTTTTCTACGAAGAACTTAGCTACCTCGGATGCACTGCCTTTTGGCAGGGCTTTTGTCTCGGCGTAGCAGGTGAGATAGTCGGTAGCTACTACGATCCACTTGTTTCCAAAAGCCGACGTCGGGATCGGCCCCAGTAGGTCCATACCAATCTGCTGGGAAGGTCGGCAAGGTGGATCGATTGGCTGCAGAAGTCCCGCTGGCCTTGTCGGCGGTGTCTTGCGTCGCTGACAGTCCCGGCATGCCCTCACATAACGAGTGACGTCGGTGGTAAGACGTGGCCAGTAGTACTTTTTTGTATCCTCGCGAGCGTGCGAGAAACACCAAGGTGCCCTGCCGTCGGATCGTCGTGCAGGGCCTGCAGGAGTTCTGGTCGCAGAGCTGAAGGTACCACAAGGAGGTACTTAGCCCGAAGCGGTGAAAGGTTTTTCTTTTGTAGAAGACCGTTTCGTAGAAAGAACGACGCAAGTGCGCGCTTGAATACTTTCGGGACTTCGGCGGTCCTGCCTTCGAGCTATTCTATTAGGGCCTTAAGTTCCGGGTCGGCCCGCTGTCGTTCAACGAAGTCGTCGGTAGTTATCGTTCCCAAGAAGTAGTCGTCATCCGGGTCGTCGGGTAGCGGTTGGTCGACAGGCGCACGAGAGAGACAGTCGGCGTCGGAGTGTTTTTTGCCGGACTTGTAAATGACAGTAATGTCCTATTCTTGAAGTCTCGGGCTCCATCGTGCGAGGTGACCTGAAGGGTCCTTCAAGGTGGCTAGCCAACACAGGGCGTGGTGATCACTCACAACTTTGAAGGGCCTGCCGAAGAGGTAGGTGCGAAATTTCGACGTAGCCCAGATGATGGGGGGGCACTCCTTTTCTGTTGTGGAATAATTTGCTTCTGCTTTGGATAGCGATCGGATGGCGTAACTAATAACCCTTTCAAGTCCGTCAGCCCTCTGCACAAGAACGGAGCCGAGACCTACGCTGCTTGCGTCAGTATGTATTTCTGTATCGGCGAATTCGTCGAAATGGGCAAGTAACGGAGGCGTCTGGAGGCGATGTTTAAGCTCCTGGAAAGCGTGTTCCTGTGGCGTTTCCCACTTGAACTCCACGTCGGCCTTGGTAAGGTTAGTGAGAGGATCGGCGATGCGGGCGAAGTTTTTCACGAACCGTCTATAATAGGCGCACACGCCCAAAAATCGGCGCACGGCCTTCTTGTCAGTGGGCGGCGGGAAGTCGGCGATGGCGGCTGTTTTCCGTGGATCGGGATGAACTCCAGACTTGCTGATAACGTGCCCCAGAAACAAGAGCTCCTCATATGCAAATCTCCACTTTTCTGGCTTCAGTGTGAGTCCGGACGTCTTGATGGCTTGAAGTACAGCTTCAAGGCACCGAAGATGCTCGTCGAAACTCGAGGAAAACGCGACGACGTCGTCCAAGTACACAAGGCAAGTCTGCCACTTCAATCCTGCCAGTACTGTATACATAACGCGTTGAAAAGTTGCAGGCGTTGAGCAAAGGCCGAAGGGCATCACTTTAAACTCGAAGAGGCCATCCGGTGTTATAAACGCCGTCTTCTCTCGGTCTCTTTCGTCGACTTCAATTTGCCAATAGCCAGTCTTAAGGTCCATTGACGAAAAGTACTTGGCGTTATGGAGCCGATCAAGTGCGTCGTCTTTTCGTGGGAGAGGATACACGTCCTTTCTTGTGATTTTGTTCAGGCGGCGATAATCGACGCAGAAACGTAGGGTCCCATTCTTTTTCTTCACTAACACCACGGGGGATGCCCATGGACTCTTGGACGGCTGGATAATGTCATCCCGCAGCATTTCATCAACTTGTCTCTTCATGGCCTCACGTTCTCGCGTCGAAACCCTGTACAGACTCTAACGGAGTGGTCTGGCATTTTCTTCGGTTATGATGCGATGTTTCGTGATTGGGGTCTGCCGAATTTTCGATGACGAAAAGCAATCTTCGTATTGCAGAAGCAGGGCCTTGAGCTGTTCTTGCTTATCGTTCGGAAGTCTGGGACTGAAGTCGAAAGCTATGGGAGGGGCTTGGTTCCTCTGAGCAGGTTCCGCAGAATCGGCGAGGGCGAAAGCACTGGTGGCTTCGACAATTTCTTCGATGTATGCGACCGTTGTTCCTTTGTTCACATGTTTGTACTCATTGCTGAAATTCGTGAGCATAACCGTTGCTTTGCCTCCCCGCAGCTCTGCAATTCCTCTTGCGACGCAAATATTTCGAGTGACCAACAGATGCTGACTGCCTTCAACGACGCCTTCCAAGTCAGGTGATTAGGAGCGCCGACTGAAATAATGACGCTTGAGCGAGGCGGAATGGTGACTTGTTCTTCCAGCACATTCAAGGCATGGTGTCCTGACGGCGTGCGCGGCGGTAGTGCTTCTTCTGTGGATAACGTGATCGACTTTGTTTTTAGGTTGACGACAGCATCATGGAGGCATAAGAAGTCCATGCCAAGGATGACATCTCTCGAGCAACGCTGTAGGACTACGAAGTCTGTAGGATAAATACGGCCGTTAATGGTGACTCTCGCTGCGCAGATTCCTGCAGGCGTTACGAGATGATCTCCGGCTGTGCGGATTTCAGGGCCTTCCCAAGCTGTCCTAACTTTCTTTAACTTCGCGGCGAACGACCCACTGATGACGGAGTAGTCGGCTCCAGTATCGACGAGAGCGGT